ACACACACATACGCACACACACAAACTTAATGTAAGAATCGCATTTTTAACATGTTGTCTACATGTTTTCAAGACATATCGTAAAGTAGAGTCAACAGGCCTTTAGACGTAAAATGGTAAAAGGGTTCATTCATCTCAAGTTTTCAGGGGTCATCCCTTCATTCCTCCTGGTGCTGTAACAGACCGCTGCTCCTCTGGCTCTGATGTTTCTTAAATGAACATATTTTCAAATGCCGATGTTCAGAACTGTGACCACGTAGACATCAGTGAGCCAGAAACCTGTTGGCAGTGTTTATCATAACCTCTGGTACCTCATCGGAGAGGACAGTGCTTTTTTCCTTTCCTTCATCAGGCTGAAATAAGATATTGATAACGAGCCATTTAGTTCATCGTAGAACTGTGTTCGTATTGTCTCAGAGCAGTCGTCCAAAATCACATGATGGCTGAATTTTATCAACCATCAGGCGCTGCAAGGATAATGCTAACTTTGCAGTATGATCATAGAGGCAGGTTAGTTTCACTTCAGCTGCCATGATGCTGGCCTCAATCTGAAGCTTTACCATTGTAGAATAAATTGCAATATTCACACAGTAGATACCAGCATAGTGTATGTTTTCAGTGAATGAATGTGGATATGTCATTATTAAGCAGTTTTTGATTTTAGTTTGAAAATAATCTACAGTTTTTCTCTCAGCTGTTTCTCTGTAACATAAACCAGGTTTACATTAGTTCTCAGATGGTTTCAGAGGAAATACCACTCCAATTTAAGATTGAAGAATGTTATTTAAAAGGTCTGTATGGGAGTTTTAGCTGATTTGTTTTAGATTTTTGTTCTTGGAGAAACTACATTTAGTTTGTTTTTTTAACATCTCAGGATGTATAAAGTATCTGTGCAAAGTAGTGACTTCTCCTTATGTCTGGTGAGTTGCAAAAGATGGATGACAAGTTTAATTCTGCAGTTTCTACAGAAAACCTTAGTATTTGTTTGTCACTCAAAGATTCACAGCAAACTCATTTGGCACGTTACAGTGTGATGACTCTTGATAATCAAATTCCACTCTGGAATGTTTTGCTAAAGTTTTGCAGCCATGTGTAAATCACAGCTAAAAACAAATAGACAGAAAACACAGATAATGTTTTCGGTTACTCCTGCTTGTAGCAGTTTAAGAGGGTAGAATAAAAACAATTGTCTAATTCGGGTCACTTGTTAAGTGAGAAACACAAGTGACATTACAATCTTCTTTCCTGACTTAACATAGTGTGCTGTCCTAATGGGACAGTATAGAGAAGTGTAAAAGTTACCTGCTGTAGACCTGGGATTTTTCTGACTGTGTTCATCACTAGTAACCTGTTACCCAGAATTTTGTATAACTACAATTTGAAAAATTGAATGTATGTTGTGTTCAAACATTCCTACACCGTAGAAATAACATACTTATTGTTCAATTGAGGTGGTTTTCCTATAGTTGCTCTTTTATACGTTGTAATCTATCAGGAACACGTTTGGCACTTTGGATCAAAGCAGGACAATTTTATGTAATTCATGGATTTTGCTTGTTTTACCGTCACACTTGTTGGAGCCAGTTTACATTTAAGAGATGATTATATCATTACACATGCTAGACGTGTCATTTTTTTAAAATTGTAATCCATTCATGTAGCCATCAGAATGTGATGCCCCCTCACTTTATTTTATATCGTATAGTTTTTTTTGGGGGGGGGGGGGATTGTTAACATTGGTCGTAATCTAAGATCAGATTCTTTTCAGCCAAACTCTTTTTCACCATGTTCCTGAACAGAATTAAAATCCGAACCTTGTTTTCCAACCGTTTCTCATTTGTCCATAAGTTTTGATTATAGCCACAACATTGTTATTGTTTGTCTTTGCAGCTTGTAAAAGTAGATTAGATGTGCAGTTACAGTTGCAGATCCTCGTACAGTAGCAACTCTGTGGTGTTGTGCAGCCCAAGTTCTGTTAAAAAGGCCATTGTATTTACAATATGAATATCAGTGTATTGTGATACAGCAACCTGCATTCATTTAGTGACATGCAACCTTCTAATCAGTAGCTTTTAATCTTTGCAAAAACCTACTGATGACTCTGATTAAAAAAATACTAGTGGTGAAGCAATAATCCGACAATCATCTCATTGATTGATTTGTGTCAGTTGGAGTAAGGAAGCTGAGGTTTGACCAAAAACTGCACCATGACTGATTTTGAGGGCTCAAAATCCCAATTAAAACCAGACGAGTACTGCGCTTCGTATGAGTACTTTTCCATTCCATTCATCCAAATATGCGTATCTGTCCCAACGAGAGGTCAGAACAGAAAGAACAGAAACCATTTCAACACGATTTTCCACTCTGTTCCCTCACTGCAGTTACTCACTTTACAGGTCGGTGTACAGACTTGATAATGACTAAGGAAAGCAGTATTTGCATGAAAACGCTATTGCATGCATTTCATTATCTATGCAAGAGTCTGCAGCTGTGTACAGTAGAAGGCAGCGCACGGCTGGTATATTCCATCGCTTCATTTGCACACCATTCCAATATTTTGAAAAAATGTAAATTATTGAGTATCTCATCTTTC